TATATATGTATGTGTATGTATATATATATATATATATATATATGTATGTGTATGTATATATATGTATATATATATATATATATGTGTATGTATATATATATGTATATATATATATATATATATATATGTATGTGTATGTATAACCCTATGTATTAAGATGTTTTTGATCAACACAAGATCTGTTTCCAACAAGACTTTTATCCTCAATGACTTTTTTAAAGACGAACAGTTGGATTTTCTCTATGTCACGGAATCTTGGATATCTGATGGTGAGTCCAGCGCTTTGATGTAATTATTACCTCTGGACTGTCTGTGCTTTAATGCATCAGGTCGGCGTGGTGGTGGATTATTAACGGTCTTTGAATCAAACTTTACCTGTAAACAGTTGGCCATCCCGGTTTCCTGCTCCAGCTTCGAGCTGAGCGCCTTTGAACTCGGACTTTCTACTCCGGTTCTTTGCGTGCTCGTCTTCTGCCCCCCTCGATACAAGGACTTCATAAGTGAATTCTCTGACTTTTTGGCTGATATCACACCGATACAATCATGTTTTGATTATTGGGGGTTTTAATATGCACGTGTGTTGTCAGGAGAAGCCCTTAGTGAAGGACTTTCTAGATTTATTGGACTCTTTTAATTTAACTCAGCAGGTAAACGGTCCCACCCAAGAACTGTACTCCACTTCCTGCTTGCGGAGCTGGGCCCGGTCTGTTTACATTCACACGGTACTCGAACCATGCTGGAGTTCTCTTCTACCGGACCGAGACCTAGGTTTTAGCCCGGGCCAGAGTTTGCCTTTTGGTTCCATGACAGAGTTCGGTGACGCGTTCACACCTCCCCAAACGAACCAGACTTCCTAGGCAAACGGGCTAGAGTTAGGGACAACAGGGCTGGTGTGAATGCACCCTCAGATCAGAACCTTGGCTTAATGACGTCACTCAAGCCTTTAGACAGCAGTGTAGGAGAGCAGAGCGCAGATAAAATAAATGACTTATTATTTAAAACCATTATTTGAATTTTATTTCCACCTGGTTTTAATGTTTCCTCTCCTTTCCTGGCTGAGCCGGGTCGTAACACTATCTTTTTCAGTGACACGATTCAAACTGATTCAAGCCTACAGCATTTCCATCGTCTGACATCACCGACCTTTCAAGGTAACCGTGTCCTTAACCTGTGACATACTGTTCCTCAGGTGAATCATCATGACAACAGAGCCAGGTGAAGTGCAACCCAAAGAGGAGTGTTTTCCTGAAGCTGCTGCCCACTCAACACCAAAACAGGTGAAAACTCAAAAGACAAATGATCAATAAACTTCATGACATAAGTGCTGCTGTGAAATCTGACATCACTTCCTGTGATCTGAGGGTGAGGAGGGGGTTCTGCCCCATAGCCGAGCTCAGAGCTCACTGGCTGAGGATTTGATGAGTCACCTGTCATCCGGCAGTCACATCGCCCATTCCCCGGCCAAAACCACTCTGAGCTTCAGGACAATGCAGACCAAAGTGACGCTGTTGGATGGATCACTATTTACCTGCATAATGGAGGTGAGACAGGGTTAGAGTTTGGGGACATTGGACAGGAGAGATGGGCATAAATGACCCATATAAGAGTACTTATCAAAATATAGTGATGACGAATGAGTGGAGTCATTATAGACGCCTAAGCAAAGACGAAGAAAAGTCAGTTGAACCGTAGAGCCTCAGTCAAGAGAAACATGATAATAGAACATCAGTCAAGAGAAACAGTGTGTAGAGCTTTGTCAGTAGAACCTCTCAGTAATACGTCATTTAGGAGAAACAGTAAAATCTTAGTCAGGAGAAATGGTCAGTAGAACCTAAATCAATCAATATAACTTTATTGGTCATAACATTCCTTAGATAGAGAACTTTACTAATTGGCTTTTATGTATGTGAATGTTTCTCTAAAGCCCTGAGACAACTTTGTTGTGATTTGGCGTTATATAAATAAACTGAATTGAATTAAATTGAACATTCCATGAATTGGAGATTTAGTCAGTGGAACCTCAGTCAGGAGAAACACGACAATAGAACTGTTGAGGATTTGTTTGGGTTTAACCAGAATTTGTTTATTACATTATTTGGGATATTATAATTTGATATAAGTTACTATTTTAGTTGTAATTGTTATTTCAGATTTAGTGAATATCTGGTTCAAAAGCGGTCTAAATTTGTTCACCTTTAATAGAAGGGACTCCATGTCCCATGATGCTTCAGAAGTAGAAGAACTAAAGTTTGTTAGAGAAAAAATATAAAATGGATGGTTTCTTTCAGAGAGCACATTTTCTGAGCTCCCACATGTTGTCGTAGAGCATTACTATCATTTTTTTCACATTTTTTATTCACTAAAGTTCATCTGAATAAGACTTCTGGCTCCTTCTTGTCTTTGGATTAGTCAAATATACAAACCGGATTCCAAAAAAGTTGGGACACTGAACAAATTGTGAATAAAAACTGAATACAATGATGTGGAGGTGCCAACATCTAATATTTTATTCAGAATAGAACACAAATCATATATCAAAAGTTTAAACTGAGAGAATGTATCATTTTAAGGGAAAAATATGTTGTTTCCAAATTTCATGGCGTCAACAAATCCCCAAAAAGTTGGGACAAGTCCATTTTTACCACTGTGTGGCATCTCCCCTTCTTCTTACAACACTCAACAGACGTCTGGGGACAGAGGAGACCAGTTTCTCAAGTTTAGAAATAGGAATGCTCTCCCATTCATGTCTAATACAGGCCTCTAATGCCCCTTTTCCACCGTCACAGAGCGGATCAGATCAGTTCGGGTTGGTTCAGATCGGTTGTGTTTCCATGTACATTTCTGGACCGGCTCTGTAGGCGGGGACTAGAATCCAACTCGTCTTACCACCTGGTGGCGGTAGTGCTCCCTTAAGCTACTTACTAGCCACCACTAAACGTATTAGAAGAAGAACACCCTGAAGGTTTTGTCACACGATGTTGTGGAAAAGATGTCATGCTCTAATGGAGTACCTCATGAGCTGTAACTTTAGACCTGATTCATAATCCTACCTTACTGCCTTCCTGCTGCTTTAAACCCATGTGTTTTTCATTTTAGTATAGATTTTTACAATAAAGATGTATTAAAAATATCTTTACTTTTATTATTTACAGATATGCACAAGGTTCATGTTAAAATTGCAAAACATCACACTGTGCTGTAATCTTTGAAACTGCTTTTACAATAAGATACAGACTTGAAAACAATTAGATTAAATTTTGTCCTTGAATTTTAAAGATTTGTCTTTCATTAAATTAAAACATAAATTTATTACTTATTAATCTAAAAAAGTCTGGTCCTCTGGACATTCAAAAAACAAAACTAACAAAAAACATTTAGTTTATTTATTATAAACTGTATTGTTTGTTTTGTGAATGTCCAGAGGACCAGACTTAACTTTTTAGATTTTTCTACCTGGATTATTGAGCAGCATCAGGATATTAATTAATAGTCAGTTGGTTTGTGAACACCATGGGGTCCTAGAAGAGTTGAAGAGGAGGCTGTTGATGTCTGTGCCTCCCTGGTGAAGATGCTGCTCCCACAACCCTGAAGCAGAAGAGGATGGATGGATGGATGGACGGACGGGTGGCGAAGGAGGAGACCATCAAACAGCAGGAGTGGTCAGTTCAGGTGAACACCTGCCTGTTTGCTTCAGATCAGCTGTTCAAATCTCTGCAGGTTCAAATAAAAGGTGCACCAGGACTTTCAGCTGAATCTCTCGGGCCACAGTTGTATGGACGATAAACGATAACTGCTAAAAGATAACTGATGACTGATAATTGATAACTGTCCTTTCTGAATTTTTGACTGTTTTTGTGTCACTTCATCCTAGAACAAAACATTTATAACATAATAACAGTTGAGCAGATTCTAGTAATCTTTTCTTAGGATTCATTAAAGATCAAATGCAATTGGAAATTCTTCTCAATTCCAGTATGAATTTAAACAAACACTATATGAACTTAACATTGTAAAATTTGTTTAGGAAATTTAATGTTCAAGGACACCACTTAAGAAAAAAATTGTTTAATATGAAAAGTAAGAAGTGAAAAATGTACAAAAATAAAAACTACTGCGTCCAACTAATGATTGTGTCTGTCCCTTGTCTCACGGGCTTCATCCAGAAGAAGACACAAGTGTTGTTCCTGCTGTGTCCGCTTCAGTTCTTCATGTTCATTCAGTGATGGAATAAAACTTTTCTTTACTTGACTCTTTTCTCTTTCTCTTCACTAGAAAGAAGAAAAAGTGGTTAATTCAAGCTACATACTGTTTTTGAATAAATGCATGAAACAAAGAAAGGTGCTGCTAACAGCTATAATAGATATATTAATAATAATAAACTGATCAAATAAGAAAATGAAAAATAAATTGATTTAAAAATAATGAAAATGATAATAATGGATATATGAATCAGAAAGTATTATACAGATGCAGATATTCTTTGTCATTCGCACCACATGTGGTCCATGTGGTGGATGATCAAAATTATGTTCACAGGGTCCCAGTTACATCCAACAATAAAATATAAAAGAAAAACAGTAATAAGATTTAAGATATGAACTAAGAAAAACATCAACTAAAAATATGATAAGCTCTAATAGCATAAAAACATTAAACACAATACACAGAACAGCAGCACGGACATGAGTCTGTGTGAACTGATGAGCACGAATGAACACAGCAACATGAAACAGATCAGCAGCAACATGAAACTGATCAGCAGCAACATGAAACTGATCAGCAGCAACATGAAACTGATCAGCAGCTACATGATGTGATTCTTCACAGTGTTATATATTCATGAGGCTGCACAAACTCAAGTTCATGTTGCTGTTTGACGTATTGTTTTGATTGTTTACTGCTATTAGTGCTTAGTGTTTTATTAGTAGATGTTTTTTAGTTGATATTTTTCTTAATTCATATCTTAGATCTTATTACTGTTTTTATTTTACATTTTGTTGTCTGTAACTGGGACCCTGTGTACATAATTTCATCCCAATTCAGTATTTATTCAACATTTTAGTTTTTTA